GTCATGTCATGATTATGAAGGTGTCATGTCAGTCTTATGCACACCCCTTCAAGTAAAGTGTGACCAAGTTTTTTTTAGCACTTTCATTTGAACGTCATCAATAAATATAATGGTTAGCAGTTCATATGCGCTCCAATACTGTACTGTTCAAAAGTTTGGGTTCAGTAAGATTTTTTTAATTACAAAAAATATATATATATATATAGTAAAAACAGTAATATTGTGAAATATAATTGCAATTTAAAATAACAGTTTTCTGCTTTAATATATTTTAAAATGTAGTTTATTCCTGTGATGCCAAAGCTGAATTTTCAGCAGCTATTTCTTCAGTCTGACATGATCCTTCAGAAATCATTTTAATATAATATGCTGATTTGGTGCTCAAAAAAAAAAATCTTATAAAATAATGAATTATCTTATTATTATCAATGTTAAATACAGTTGTGCTGCTTAATAATTTTGTGGAAACCAATTTTTTTTTATGATTCTATAGAAAGTTCAAAAGAACAGCATTAGAAATCTTTTGTAACATTAACTTTTAAATCAATTAACTTTTAGCATTAAGTTTTGTTGAAATTAATGCGTCCTTCCTGAATAAAAGTATTAATTTAATTAAAAAAAAAAATCATACTGACCCCAAACTTTTGAACGGTAGTGTTTGAATATAGAATATATATGAAAATATTAAATTTAATTTAATGTAAATAATTGTCTGTATATTTGGAATAACTGCCTATATGTTGCATTAACATTCACATATTATGCTTCATTACTTATTTATACCTTATTACCGACCACCTGATTGTGCCTTTGTTTACTTCTATCCACAATCTAAAGTACCAGTCCACCGTTTCTTGTTCCAGTTTGGCACAACATCAATAAGCTTCTTAAACTGCTGGTTGAAAGGTTTGATGTTTCCACCATGACCTTCACAATAATTTTCTTGTGAAAGACCGCTTTAGACGACATAGACTTTGTGTTCCGTGAAAAATTCATTAATTGAGACACTGGGACAGTTCCCAGTTGTTACACTGAGCAGTTGTTCAAAGAGGCTCATAACAGATGGATTGAGTGTCATTCCATGAGAGGTTTTTAATTTGTCGCACTGAATAAGCACCTTGTAGCACACCACGTACCCCTACAAACATCCACAGCACTCAATCAGTAAATGCCAATGAGTTGTGAGATGCCACAGTAAACACGAACCTATCATATTCCTGTTTGCTGCCAGGATTAAACCTGGAAATGGTCCACAGTTCGGCTGATGTAGGATGATTACATAAAAGTTAAGTTAGAAGACAGGGACCTCTTCGAAAGCAGGACAGTCTCATGCTAATGCACCCAATTGTCCGTCCTTTCACATGCTAAGCACTCTCTGTATACTGAAGATAAATACAATTCATGAATGATTTACAGTTTTTGCAGCATAAGCCTTGTTCAAGAGGTGTTTTGATGCAGAGGTCTTGTTTAAGTCTTTTGAAAGTCATAAGTCTCTATTCTGTTTAGTCAGGACTTCTCAAATGGCTCTGAGGTCCATTCAGACCATTTTGAATGAGATTGTGTGTTTAGATTATATGTGTAGCACTGATTTCACCTCTTTATCCTCATGTTTTCAACCCCAGTCAGGGCCTAGTCATGACGTGTGCATGCCATGGTGACGTTCATTTGTTGTTTATTCTCCTCTCTGTAGCCCTCTTTACACGCCATCACTGACTAAACTAGGCTACACAAGTTACACAGTGTTAAAGCATATAGATATTATATGGGTACAAACTGTAGTACATATTAGGCCTATATCTAAATGGCTGAAAAGCAGGAGAATTTAAAACAATGTCCTTTTCAGGTGGTTTGGATGTAAGGCCCGCCTCTTGTGATGTCAGCAGAGAATCATTGGGGGTTTTGGGGACATTATTTAAAGGACTAGCTCTTTCCTCACTATTCAGACACCTCTGGAATATCATCCATAACGGAATTACTTTATTAGTTTTTTTCTATAAAGCTTTTAAGGCTGAGGAAACGTCATCCTACACAATATCTGTAAGTTGGATTTAATCTTCATGGGTTGCTGATTTTTGGCTGTTTGGTGCATTTTAATAAAGCTAGTTTTATATATCCAGATATGCATCTTTTTTTCTTCTCCATTCTTTCTCTCTCTCTCTCCTTCTCCCTCATTCATGAGCGGATTAACTGAAGTATGCAGTTCCAAAGGAGCTGTTTGTGATGGATGTGTCTGGGGAGATTACATTTTGTTTCTGTATCATATCTGATTTCACTTCTGTGTGCAAAATAAATATTACAACACCCGGATAAAAGAAAAAATGAAGATAAATGTCAAAGCCTTAGACGATTAATTATTTTTTTAAGAAAAAAAAAAACCTTTATAAAAATTATTGAAAAATGGGGTTTATTCATTGTTGCCTGGTATATTGTTCTTTTGTCTCAACAGATATCTTCATTAACCATGTCGATGTGGTTTGCTGTACTTCATGTTTTAGGTAGGCAGTTAGTTTCTTCAAAGTGATTGTTACCGAACATTTCTTGTGTCTTAATCTGAATTATTGCCATGATGAAAAGATGTCATTGCCTTTATTTATTTTTATTTTTTTACAGGTATTCTGTCTTTGACCTGTAGCACTTTTGGATCGGATTTAAATGGTCAGTGAATTCCATTTTTCATTCTTTCTCTCTCTTACTCTTTTCATATTAAATATAATGAATTGAGTTACATTATAGAAAATATTTAGCTAACTATTTTTTTTTTCTTTTGGAAATATATTTTTAAAAGGTTAGGGCCACTTTATTTACAGTTTTATGTAACTTTTTAATTGTTTTATATGTAGTTGATTTTTGGAGAACTTTTGGGGAAAATCATTTAAACATATTTTGTAACATTTGTTTTATTTGACAGATATATAATCATTTTATTACGGGTAATATCTGTTGTACATTTCTTAGTTCCGACACCAATTAGCTGTGGAACTCGTGCGGTGGACCTACCAGACACACGTAAGAGAGTGCTCTGCCCAGCAAACTGCACTCTCTGGAGTCTGTCAGTGTTTGGTTCAGGAGTATATGCCTCT